CCCGCCCCCCCTGTCCCCCCCCCCCCCCACTTTCCCGCTAGGCACCCATGCCCCTGGTAGTGGAAGGAGACTTCCTGTGCTTCCCCACTCCCAGGCCAATCAGGATGTGTGTGTGGGGGGGGGGAGGGAACACGCAAAGCCTCCTCCTGCCCTGCCAGGAGCATGTGGTGCTTCTAAGTGCCATGTACGCTTCGCAGGCACCCGCCCCCCCTGTCCCCCCCCCCCCCCACTTTCCCGCTAGGCACCCATGCCCCTGGTAGTGGAAGGAGACTTCCTGTGCTTCCCCACTCCCAGGCCAATCAGGATGTGTGTGTGGGGGGGGGGAGGGAACACGCAAAGCCTCCTCCTGCCCTGCCAGGAGCATGTGGTGCTTCTAAGTGCCATGTACGCTTCGCAGGCAGAGGCAGGGGGAGGAAACTTCAAGCTCTCCCCCCATCCCCAGGGCCTAATTGGCCGGGTGATGGGGAAGCATCAGGGCCTCTGCGGGCTAGAGCAGCCCATCCTGCAGAGGCCCTTTTGCCCACTCCTGGCCTCAAGGGCCAAAGGCTATAGACTTATTAGGGCCCAGGTGCAGTTAAGGATTGTTCAGAAGAGCATGAGTCTCAGTTCCATGAGTGGCGACTCCATGGGTGCTTCAGGGGAAAACATGATTGGTATTGAGCATCCACTGTCAGCCCCTCTATCTGCTCCTCCCACCCGCCAGCAGACCCTGCTGATCAGCATTTCCCCCTCCCCTCTAATGCCTTCCACCCACTCAACAGGTGTTTCACAGTGTACAGGAGGCACAGGTAGAGAGGAATGAGGATGCAACAGGCTCGGAGATGGGGCAGAGATGGGAAGAGTAGAGATGAGAGCAGGAAAAGGCAGGGCAGGGGTGAGGTTTTGGGAGAAGAGGTGAAATGGCTGCAGGGCCAGAGACAGATCACCCCCAGCACATTGGAAAGCCAGCGCTTCTGTTCAGTTAACTGAACCGAGCACACCAGGCACGGCCGGACTCAGTAAAGGGTATGAAGCATCTGACAATGGTTTAAGAAAGGATTTTTAAAAATTGCATTTCATATAAAGTGGCCAAACCAAAACCACAGAGCTAGACAAACACAAGGAAAGTTCAGGTCCAGTAGACAAACCCAAATAGAACACAACACATACAGATAAATGTGGGGAGACAAATACAGCATTAACCAGCTTGCAGAGTCCAATGGATTTGTATTAACCACTCTGTGTACTTCAGAAGCCTGTCTCTCTCACCAACAGAAGCTGGGCCAATAGGTGATATTACCTCCCTTCCTTGTCTCCAGTCCACAGTAAGATGAACACTGACAAATTATACATATTCTTTAAATGATCCTATGGAACTGCTGACTTGGTTTACACTTCATTAAAGAAGATTGCTTTGGGGTATTTCTTCCATGAGTGAATGTTGCACTAATTTGCACAAATGCACTTTTAAAAGTTAACTGTATCATCAAAAAAACCTTTCATTCTTCTCCTTCAATGGTCTGCGCTAACAAACAATAAGAGCTTTATATTCCTTTAATAACAGAGAAAGATTTAAACAGACATTTTGGCACTAGCTGTAGATTCTGAGCTGTGCTGCCTGTTGCACAACTTTCAAAATTATATATTTATTCAAGGCTGATTGCTTACACTCTGTAAGCATTTTGGAAAGATAAAAGATGATGGTTTTGAGCTGATTGAATTGGGTGAATTGCTCCTTCAGACTGCAAAGCCTGGTAAAATACATTAACATGGCTAGAGAAAGAAAATGTGCTTACTGCATGGATGGGCAAGGACTCTGACTTCATCCACAGCTATGTACCCCGGATGTCCCTTCAAAGACACGGATTCAAATATCACCTGAAACAGTGAAAAAAGCCTTTCTTACAAACACTAGCTGCAGTAGTCATGTTAACATTTGCCCTCTCCCACCCAACACATTGGGGATTCTCCAACTGTCATCCTTGGCAGGGAATAAAGACTGCTTCAATGTATGCAGGCATATCAAGATGTTCCTCTTTTAGGCTTTGCATTGCATTTCAACCCCACTTTGTACAGAAATCGCTAGAGATTTATGACAACGTAATTTACATAGCTACCAGGAACAGAGACATTTATGTCCGTCTTTTCTTTGGTATAAAGACTCACCTGAACTAAGTTTCTATGCTAATCTGAGACCCACTTTGGGAAGTCAATAGTGGACAGTGTTGCTGTCACAGATCCGAACAAGTGGCCCCTTTTGACTAATCACTAAGATTGATGTGAGGGGAATCCAATCCTCTGTGGTCTGGATTCCCCGGGGTATTCCTGATCAGAGACCGACCGGATCCCCAATCTTAGGGTCCCTAGACATATTCTCAGGGCACAGACCTGCTGTCTAGAACCCCTTCCCAAGAACTGGAACAGGCTGCCCAGCTCCTCTAGGAACAGGAGTGAACCCTTAGAATCCCCCATACTTAAATTACACCCTCTACCAGAACTCTACCCTAAAGCTGTGAAACTTCTGGGTGATGTGGGTATGCAGTCAATACTCATACTCCTTGCATACAGTGTCATACATTTTCTCTTTTAATCTTTATCCTGTAAAGCACAAGAGTATAGATCATACACAATAACCAGCCGCTTAAACCACATGGTCCCTTGTTAGCTTACCCTTCCCTCAGAAGCCCTTGGAAGTCCACCTGGGTCAATGAAAGCAGGTACACAGAGAATTCCGTGCTTTATTCTGGCTGTTCCATACTTGATTCCTTCACCCCACTTGCAGGATCTTGTTCTCTGTTGCCCCACGCTTCCTCTGTTCCTGTGTGTTACTCTATTTAAGCCCCTCCTGGCCTCTTTTGTCCTGGTCATTTTACATTTTTCATAGCCTCCCTGCTCCCTTCTGAGGGATAAACTGGACTGGATTTCCAAGGCTTCAGCTCACCCAAGTGTTTGCCTCTGAAGACAGTAACTGAGTTCTAAGCACACACATTATCTCTGCCTGATCACTGAATGTACCCAAGCAATTTGGGACTGCACACACAAAGGCATCAAGTTACACAGCAGAGCAATAATGGTCTTTTTCTGTAACTCAGAGAATGCTCCTGAGGCACTATATTCAGTTTTGCGCACTTCATTTTCAGACAATGGGAGACAGCCTAGGAGCTCAAAAAAAAGTACAAGAGAAGAAAATCAGGCCAATGCAATTTTTAGGGAAAAGAACTGACTATGTACAATTTGTGTTATAAAAAAATCGAAAGGCTGGGGGTGAGAGGAACAAAACTGTTTGCAAATTTTCAAATGGTGTAAACAACAATGGAAAGGAGAAATTTAGCATGGTACAACTACAATAGACAAATGAAAATGCAGCTTGAATATCAGTGTCCCTTCTGGTGACTCTCTGTATAGAGGTAAATTTTACCCACAGAGAACTTTTTTATTAATAGAAAGATTAACTGCTCTATTTTGTCTTTGTATACCTGATCTCTTTCCAATTGACTATAATGTGTCTAACATTCCAAGAACTGAGTGCTAGCAATACCCAAGATAGTCAATTAGAGCATAGTCAATGGGCTTTCCGAATCAAATAGGGCTGGTTTGTTTTGCATCTGGGATCCTAAACCTTTATTTCTACACAAGTTTGTCTACCTCCTTTTCTGTGGATGAAAACACTAAGTCATGGTCAACATTAGAGAGTTATTTCAAAATAACAAGTAAAGTATCCACACTACCAAGCCTGTTGTTTCAAAATAAGGGGCTAGTTATTTCAAAATAATAACTCCTGCTTTCCTTGGGGAATAAACTTATTTCAAAATAATTATTTTGAGAGTTATTATTTCAAAATAAATTATTTCAAAATAATTTCCTAGTGTAGACATACCCTAAGATTTCATGTACCACAAAAATTAGGCCTTTTGAACTAAAAGTCCTGAAAAGACAGCTTCAGCAAAAGCATTTGAAATTGCGTGAAATATAATAATGGAGCAAAGGATTTAAGAAAAGGAAAGGTCCAGTACTGATTAAAGTTACGAACTGAATTTAAATGAGTAGGAACGTACTTAAGGAATAGACTAGCCAAGGTACAATGGCAACAAGATACATTGGTAGCATCAGTTACTGAAGATTTAGGCTAATACCTGCAAGAGAAAACCACATACTGGGGTTACATGTGCAGTTTTGAAAGAGGAAAAGATTCTTGATAAGCCACATGCTGGTTTTCTTGTCCTATAGTCTAATGTAAGCACATAATATGGTAACTCTTGCTTCTGCTCTTTAAAATTATTGAGTCAGTCATTCAAGAAACTTATTATATCAGTCAGGAAGATGTCTCAAAAATTGAATACTACAGCTCCTTTCAAAATTAGACCGCAAACTGTAACCTTAAAGTTATTTTAAGGTTACAGTTTTGTTCCTTTTAACAAAAGAAAGCGAGGTTCATCTGGAAAAATAGGCTGCCCAAAAGGCACCTTAAACCTCAAAGGAACCAGGCTTCCACCTTCAAAAGAACTCTTCTGAGAAGTGTTAGATATTGCCATTAACTATCATGCTAGATCATAGAAGCTTCTGATCACTACTGTTGACTATCTAATGTGTAATGTCCTTTATGCATGCTGTAATGATGATGACTGAGACAACTAGCTCAGGACAACAGCTGCTTACTGAGTTAGCAGTAGTAGTTAGTCCCACACATTCTGCCTTCACCCCTGTGTTTTCTACACCTCTCGATGATCAGAATCTTCAGTATAGTAAATTCATGGAGATTTGGAGAGGTCCTGGATGATAGAAAAAAGGCAAATGTAGTGCCCATCTTTAAAAAAGGAAAGAAGGACACTTCAGGGAACTATAGACCAGTCAGCCTTACTTCAGTCCCAAGAAAAATCTTGGAGGGGAGCCTCAAGGAATCAATTTTGAAGCACTTGGAAGAGGGGAAAGTGAACAGGAATAGTCAACATGAATTCACCAAGGGAAAATCTCAGCTGACCAACCTCATTAGCTTCTATTATGAGGTAATTGACTCTGTGGACATGGGGAAGTCAGTGGATGTGATGTACCTTGACTTTAGCAAAGTATTTGATATGGTCTCCCACAATATTCTAGCCAGCAAGTTAAAGAAATATGGATTGGATAAATGGACAATAAGGTAGATAGAAAGCTGGCTAGACGATCAGACCCAATGAGTGGTGATCAATGGCTCGATATCTGGCTGGTGGTCACTTTCAAGTGGAGTGCCTCCAGGATCAGTTCTAGGGCCGGTTTGTTCCAACATCTTTATTAATGACTGGGATGAGGGGATGGATTGCACCCACAGCAAGTTTGCGGACAACACTGAGCTAGGGGGAGAAGTAGATATGCTGGAGGGCAGGGATAGGGTCCAGAGTGACCTAGACAAATTGGAGGATTAGGCCAAAAGAAATCTGATGAGGTTCAACAAGGACAAGTGCAGAGTCCTGCACATCGGATGGAAGAATCCCAAGCATTGTTACAGGCTGGGGACTGAATGGCTAAGCAGCAGTTCTGCAAAAAAGGACCTTGGGGATTACAGTGGATGAGAAGCTGGATATGAGTCAACAGTGTGCTCTGGTAGCCAAGAAGGCTAATTGCATATTAGGTTGCATTAGGAGGAGCATTGCCAGGAGATCTAGTGATTATTTCCCTTGTTTTGCACTGATGAGGTCACATCTGGAGTATTGTGTCCAGTTCTGGGCCCCCCACTATAGAAAGAATGTGGACGCATTGGAGAGGGTCCAGTGGAGGGCAACCAAAATGATTAGAGGTCTAGAGCATATGTCCTACGAAGAGAGGCTGAGGGATTTGGTCTTATTTAGTCTGTAGCAAAGAAGAGTGAGGGGGGATTTGATAGAAGACTCCAACTTCCTGAAGGGAGGTTCCAAAGGGGCTGGAGAGAGGCTGTTCTCAGTGGTGACAAATGGCAGAGCAAGGAGCAATGGCCTCAAGTTACAGTGGGGGAGGTGTAGGTTGGATATTAGAAAAAACTGTTTCACTAGGAGGGTGGTGAAGCACTGGAATGGGTTCCCTAGGGAGATGGTGGAATCTCCATCCCTAGAGGTTTTTAAGTCTCGAATTGACAAAATCCTGGCTGGGATGTTTTAGTTTGGGCTGGTTCTGCTTTGGGGAGGGGAATGGACTCGATGACTTCCTGAGGTCTCTTCCAACTCTAGGATTCTACAATTCTATGATTGCAACAGTAGTTGGCAAGCATGCTTCAGAAGATGTCTCACTGTCTGCATGCATCCCTGAACTCCTCATGCTCTATTCCTCCCTCAATTCAAGCTCACAGAATTTCCTTCTCTCTTTGCACATAGACCCCAGCACCAGAGGGTATGATCAGATTTTCTGGAAGGCAGAGGATTGGTCCATGGACCTGGAGGAACCTGAGATGCATGCTGATGTAAAGGCCTATGTCCATGACACATTTTTCCCTAATGGAATTCCTTACTAATTTTAAAGGTTGCAGATTTCAGCCTTTAACACTATTTTGCATTTTAACAAACTGCTTCAAGCTTCACATAAAAAAGAAAATGTAAAGCATTACACTTTCAGAACCTTTCTAAATGCATTTGAGAATAGTAAAATCTAAGTCATTTCATGTTTCTTTCCCAATAAACAGCCCTTACATGTCACTACTGCTTTACACAAAGCATCTGTGTTAGCAAAGTAGCCAAAATACAGCATCTGCTGCACCACAACTGTTTTCTTAAGGCATAGATCAGTAATGTTCCTTGTGCACATCACACTAGCTTTTTCTGACAAACTCCAGAATTGCTCTTGGTGCGTTTTAGAGTTTAGCTCATATTATGGTTCACAATAATTCAGCCATTACATGTATAAACTCTCTGCCAGTTCTCTTATGTTTTTTTCTC